ACACTTGTGTTTTGCGTGAGTACGTCAAGTGTGTCACGGAAATTTTTAATATTTTCAGAATTTTGAATAAGATCCTTTTTAAATTTTCATTTATTTTTCATTTTACTGCCGGCCGACTGAAGGGAGAAGGAGGTATTCATTAAAATGCCGATTGTTGCAAAATTTGCGGCATCAGCACAAAAGTTGCTTGTGTCCATGAGTATGCCGAAGTACCAACTCTTTGGAGCTTGTATAAATGTTGTGGCCTATTAGCTTTTTATGCATTGATTCAAATAGTATTTATATATATATATATATATGAAATAATTATTATAAATTTTCTTCTGTCTATTAACAAATTCATCAACTGTTGTTTTTAATACAAAATATTATTTTTTCAGCAAAAGTATGACTTATTTGTTTATATATAACAGAAATGAATTATAATTCAAGTGTGAATCTTATTAATAGGGCTACAATTTGAAAAAATTGTACACCTATAAATTCCCACTGTTGTCCGTCCGTCCGTCCGTCCATCCTTAATCTTGAGATCAGAGTTAGATAAATGAAATTCGAGACCAGATAGGGAAACCTTAGAGTTAGGAAGCCCCAATTAATTATATATGAATTTCTGATGGAAACTAGAAGTCACTTTTATTTCAATTTAAAACTTCCCCTTGAAAGCAATTAATAGATGACTGGCATGACTATTGTTAAAGGAAAAAATATGACATAAAGGGACAAACTACTACTAATTTGAGGTGGAGAATATACATTTTAAATTAAATAAATTAAAAATATGATTAAAAATTGTCTTTGGATGAACCACAACAGCATTTTTGTCTACCATCCAGAGGTAAGTAAATGCCTCACTTTAGAACCTTATCTCTTCCAATACCATTGGCAGAAACTGCTACACATCTGCTATTATCACCCAACATTGTCTGTCTCTGTAGAGATGCCATGACAGAGAAGCATGAACTGCTACAGTCTGGTGGCATATCATCTTTAGCAATGAATCTTCAAGTTCTGTTTGGGAATTAATGATTACTGTGTTAGTGTGTGGAGTACCACTGGTGAGCAATTCAATCCTGTCTTTACTGTTGAATGGCACTATGTCACTACTACTGGCATTTTGGTCTAGGGATGTCTTTTATCACAGTCAATCACCTCCAGTAGTGATGTGAGCAAGATTGACAGCACAGCATCATGTTCAGGAAATCCTTTGCATTGTTTTCCTTTTTATGGCAAGGCTGCAAACAGCAATTTTCCAGCAAGATAATACTTGGCTGTACATAGTCAAGATATCTCGGGAATGTTTCCATCATATTGTTACACTTTCTTGGCTTACCCAGTGTCCAAGTTTGCTATCCATTGTTCCTTTGTGAGACCAGACGTAACACCAGCTTTGGCTGTGTTTGAGTGTGGAGGATCTGGAGAGGCAGTTGCAACTTCTGTGGGAAAATTTGTCATAAGATAGCTTATGATGACTGTATGCTTTCGAGCTTGACTGAATCATTGCACATATCCAGGAGAAGTCCAAGGTACTAGAGGTTCATTTAAATTGTACTGCTGTTGCACAAAAAATTGTTCCTTTGCTATATTGTAATCACTTATTGCCATCATCATTACCTTCCACTAATAAAGTTTCATTCAATTCCGAATACCTCCTTGATGAGTAGAAGTTTTTATCAATGAGTGTTTATATAAATATTTTTGTCTCTTTCTGCTATGTGGGCATTAAAAGTGCCTTTTGCCATAACCATCATGGGTTTGGTCAAGCCAATAATGGAGATGGCTAGATGATGAAGGATGATGTTCAACATATCTGGGATAAATTGCCCATAAAAATTTTCTATGGGTGTGCTTGGATTGATTTCTCAGAATGATAAACTGATGCCTTAAGCACCTCAAGTATCTAGTTAGCAATAAAAAAATAATAGATATGATATAATAAAACTTGTATTAGAAGAAAAACTAAAAAAAGGACACTTGCATAAAATTAACATGGCTAACATAAATTCATTTTTTTTTCTAGACTGTTTTATTTAAATAAAAAAATATTTTAGACACATATCTCTATTACTTATATAAAAATTTAAGATCTGTATTTTGTTGTCAATAGACAAAAGATAGACTTTTTTAGGTCCTTAAAATTACTGTTAATTAGTTTTTCTGTAATAAAATTGAAAACTTTAGCATATATAACTATGTATAAAAGTTTTCAGATCATAAGTTTGAAAAGAAAATTAAGAAATAATTTAAATACAGTACTAGAAATATTATATAAGGTCCATAAAAGAAACCTTAATAAATATACTGTCCCTGGCCAAATTATTAGACAGATTTTTCATAATTACAGATTACAGATTTTTCATAATTACATGTTTTATACCCAGTCTGGTGTAAGTCTATCTTATAAATCATAATTTTGATAAACAAAATTTATTTTTTAATGTCATTGTATACCTATTTTTGTTATATTTCATTACAATATTAATTTATTGGTAGGTATCAGAGCTTAGACACTAAAGTGTAGTGTACAAGTATGAATGTGTTTCAGTTGCGTTTTCAATTGCTACTGGTGTGGACGTGTTTCTGTTCACTTCTTGCATTCATTTTGTGGTATACAATTATGCAAGTGTTTGTTTTCTTTGATAGTAGTATTTTTACCAACCAGATATGATCAATTGTTATCTTTTGACATGGGCAAAAAGGGGGACCTTTCACCACGTAAAAATGCTGAAGTCAAATCTTTCATTAATACAAAAATGTATTCCAACCGTGAAATTTCACGAAGGTTGAAGGTGTCTGAAGCTAGCATACTACTTATAAAAAACAAGTTGAATCAGATCAAGATCTGAGTCCGAAAAGTAAAAATAAATGCGGCAGAAAGCCAATTTTCACCCCAAAGTCAGAAAGATGTCTTAAGAAAATTTGCTTAGAAAACAGATTTGCTACCTCTAAATCAATAAAATCTCAATTGGAAGATGCAAACGTGAATGCTTCTGAGCAACATGTTCACAGAAAATTGAAAGATCTGCATTTTAAGGCTTACCGACCAGCAAGAAAATTCAACTTAACAGTTGCAATAAAAGCAAAGCATTTGGAGAGGGTCAAACAGTGGCATGATAAGGATGTAGACTTCTGGAGATTGGTAATTTAACATTATATAGATTATTTACTATAAAATAGGCAAATTAATAGTAGGTACTTGATTAATAAGATACTTTTTTGTTGTTTTCTCAGGTCTGAATTAGCGATGGAAGCACATTTGAAATTTTAGCCAACAAAGCTCATTTTGTCAGTCTTCATAGAGGCGAAAAATTTTATTCTGACTGCGTCATTCAGACTGTTAAGCACCCCACGAAAGTAATGATTTGGTCCATCATTAGTGGCAAGGGCACTGGGTGCCTGTACGTAGTAAAAGGCACCATGAGGCAAGACCAATATAAAGAAGTCTTGCAAAATCGGTTGCTGCTATATGTTTTTATGCAAGATAGAGCTCCCTGCCACACAGCCAGGTCTGTGAAAACATATCTACAAGAGCAAAATTAACCTGTTGGATTAACTGGGTAATAGTCCCGACATGAACCCCATAGAAAATGTGTGACGGCTCATGAAGAGGGAAGTGGCCAAAGAGGTCATCACAACCAAAATGCAGCTTTTGGAAAAAATCATCCATGTGTGGAATCATCATCCACAAATGCAGGAGACGGTCCAGTCTTGCATCGACAGCATGCTGCGCCGGATTGAGGCTTTCATAGCTGCAAAAGTTGACTCAACAAAATACTAAAATTTAAATGGCAATTTTATATTTTTTTACTATGTTAATAAAAACAAAAATTTTCAATGAATATAACGTTTTATTTGTGTTAGCACTTATGTAATAAAGTAAACTGTACATTACAGGTTAAATTCATTGGTAATAAATATTCAAAGACCAAATTGTACTAGCTGATAATTAAGATTTGCAAAAAAACTATAGTTCATCTAATAATTTGGCCAGGGACTGTAGGCTGTGCGCTGA